TGCTCAGTGTCTAGTAGGGTGAAAGAATCTTTTGAGATCCAGGACCACTGTCCTAATAGCCAACTAATTTTTAATGGTTTCTCATTGGGTAACATTATATGCATAAAACATTCTGGCAAGTTACAGAGAAAGATGGGTCTCTGCTCTCATGGATTTACACTGACTGCTAGTTTTAATGGCTTAGCGGTTCAAGGGAAATTAGGTATTGAATAAATCTATCTCACAATAGTTCCTTTAACTCCCAAGAAGGGAGTCTATGTCATATACTTCGGTGAACCGTATGAATGTGGCATGTAGATTTGTTGGAAAAATATCCAAACTTAATCTTTCTTTGTTTTGTGGGATAACCTCATAACTTTTGTATCCTCACCCATATGATCCTTCCTTATCGTCTTCCTTGCCCCCAGTCTTAAAACAACATGTTCTTTTCTGCCTTTTTGTCCACGTTTTAACTTAGGTTCCCTTAGGAGAGGAATGACAACAAGCAGTATAATCTTTGGGTGTAGTAACTTCTGAACAGTTTAAAATTACAGGCCTTTTAACAGGAGTGTAATTTTCTGGATTTTACATTTATCTGACTCAAAAGAGCATTCTAAGCATAGATATTATCAATATAGATACCTGGTAGGTTGAGTAATCTTTCCACCCCAAATCAAGAAATTGGTTATCAATTCATGATAGGTGGAGGAATGGGGCCAGGAATGAGATCTGAGAAATCTGTCAGCAGGTGTGTTGTTGTTGTTGTTACCAGGGATTGAACCTAAGTGTGCTTGACCACTGAGCCATACCTTTTGTTTTTTATTTTGAGATAGGTACTAACTGGGTTGCCTAGATCCTTGGTAGATTGCTGAGGCTGGCTTCAAACCTGAGATTCTTCTGCCTTGGCCACTGAGCCACTGGGATTACAGTCATATGCTACCAAGCTCGGCCTGTCTGCTGTTTTAGAAACCAGCAATTTTTCAAGTATGGATTAAAAAGACACATTTTAGAACTATGTGGGTATTATATACTTTTTCCAGGAAACAGAAATGTAGGCACTAAGCAAACTGATAGATAGGATAAAAGATGAGAAGAAATTTGGATGTTACTGTAAATTTCTGTGCTGATGCTGATGTTTCTGTAGGAGAAGTCTCAGCCAATATCCAGAAAGTATCCTTTAGATATTGCCGTTCCCTTTCCTGTATCTTTTTGGTTGTCACTCACGGTGACCTATAAAAATCTATTGTCTTAAGAATTCAGTTCTGTGTTCTGCTTCAGCAGAAAAACCCTACAGGGTGGCTAGGCTCCT